CACACACACACACACACACACACACACACACACACACACACACACACACACAGTATACAGAATTGTTAATTTATGAGTTATTAAGCATGAATTAACAATAAGTACGTTGGTTTTGGGAGTATTAGCTTTAATAAATGTGTTAATTTATATCTCATTAATTGAAATGAACTGTAAAGCACTTTGGTCAGGATTTGTTAACGTGCTATATATTGACATTGACACGAGTCATCCTTACTTTTTTATAGTTTAAAGGTTAACTAATCATTTATTAATGATTAAATGAGGTTAAATAAGTTACAGAAGCAGATTCCACTGCCAGCTTCAAACAGACACACTTACACGGGATCATAGAAAGTGTTTGTAATTTATTTATTTATTTGTTTACCAATCTCGTGTCTGCTTTCATGGCAACAGCTGCAAGCATGGCCCACTGTGCACAGTCGAGCTCAAGAGCTTCTTTCCTGAAACTTCATCCCAAACAGGGAGGAAACAAGCAGGCAGTGAGAACAGAGGCAGCAGTGCAGGAGCAGACAGACGGCCACGATTCAKCCAGTCTAATGAACAGAGGGGGCAGACGGACCCCCCCCTCCCGCCGGCTTCATTCAGCTGCTGTTCTGTTCTCCTTCCCTCTGGCCTCCCTCAGCTCCTCCAAGAAACACTAACAAAGTAGGAGGAGKTCTGATATTTTATTCTAACTGATGATTATCCACAGTCAGGAGGGTGAAGGTAAACAACCATCAGGCTGCACAGGTAAAGGTTGTAATTCGAACTTCTTTAAGTCAAATTCCCAGTTATACATGGATGATGGATTTATCTTCCAGTTATTCAGAGGTTTTGGAGCTCAGACTGAATATCTGCTGAATCATTGAATGTCTGCTTTTTCAACAAAATCCTTTTAAAYCAAAGAAAGATCTCAGAAAATAAGAAAATATCTGAGCTCTTTGTTTTTAGCTCTTGTCCACATATGAACATTTTGTTCCTCTTTCAAAACAACATTTTTTTATTTGTAGTTTCTAAAACTATAAAAACACTTTCTGGATTCAAAACAAATCAGAGTGAATTCAAGTGTCTCTCTTTTAAAAGCACTCCAGTTTCCTCGCTAGTTTTAGAATTATAGTTCATGTTTGTGTTTCTTCTGCAGCATCTTGTTTCTTTTTGTATTGTTGACTGATAATAAGCTTTTCATTTTAAATTTGCTGTAATAATAATTAGAAATCGAGACTTTATTTTATGATGCTCACTGCTAAGTGCAATCCTTTATTTAGATTTAAAAGTGTTTATAAAATTAATGTTTTTGCTCATGTTTAGAGGCAATTGTTGTCTGTTGGTGCAGCAAACTGTAGAAGCAGCAGGAAATCAGGCTCTACGCCAGGGGTCACCAACAACACCCTGCTCAGGGGCCAGAAAGTTTCTGAGCAGGCTCTGCTGGGGCCCAGCTTTAATGCAACAAATACACAARCTAATAATAATCTGAATGTTTTCAGAGCCTCACAGCTTCCAAACAGGACGTTAGGAGGTTAGAGTCTGAGAAAAAATGTCAATTTATTCCTTTTATTCTAACAAGTGTTTCAGCTTTATGGGTTTATCCAGTGGTTTTGTTTAAATGAGCAGAATCACGTTGTTTATTGGACTTTTTTGTTCTTTTGTTTAGAAACTTTTTAAAGTGACCTTTCTTTTTACCATTTTATTTTATATTCACTTTTATACTTGTACACAAAAGTGGCATTTACCATGCTTTTATTTGTACTCAACAAAAATATTTTCCACTTATTTTAATTATTTTTTATTAAAGTTTTGTTTATATCACAGAAAATTAAATGTTACGACAAACCAAATGTTAAAATATGCATAAAACAAGGCAATTTATAATAAATAAAAAACCTGACATCAGTAATGCACAAATTCAAACAACTAAAGCAGAAATATTACGTTTTATTTTAGTAAAATATAAAGTAGCATTTTATTTTTACTTAACTACCAGAAAAAGCAAGTAGGTATGTCTGCGGACGAGTAGGTGTTTCAAAAGAAAAGCTTTTGTCAAGGGGCACACCTGATTGGACGAGCAATAAAAAGGCATTGCTCAAGGACCGCTACCTGATTGGATGATCATTGCTTAGGCTTTTCTTCGTATCGTTAGCTTRCTTTTTTTCTTCTTTTAAGCTTTATTCATTGACAACACATCAAAGTACAATTCTCTTTTTTATACAGTGTTTAATAATATTAACAGTAAAACATTCACCCCCCCCCTCCCCCAACCGATATATTTCACAACACCTAGGCCTTCGCGCTACCTTAAATATGAATAGGTACAGAGAAAACAAAGGGAAATAATTGGAGGAAAACTATATGTTCAAGTAAGAGGGTTAACTGATGGAAGGGAAAGCAGGTAAGAGCTCCATATTCTTTCAAATATTGGTTAACCTTTCTAGCATCAGACTTTCATTTCTTAATTTAGTTTCACATTCTTGCTGTTGTAACTGAGGTCATCAGAAGATTTGGGAATAATACCGGCAGATTATGTTAGCCGCCATTATTATAATTTTCTAGGAACACACCGCCTATGTTGGACTCAACGTCTTTATTTGTTTCTCTTAACAAAGAACTTCTGGTTACATTTCAAAATAAAAGCATCACCAGTCAGTAGTGCTTCTTTTTTATATAAATATATTTAGAATTAAGGAGCTAAATGTTTGTTTTTAATGATACATTACCATTTCATTAAAAAAATCAGTTTTGGCTGCTAAAATGAATGTTAAAGTAGTTAAAGTCAAAGGTGAAAGAAAAACAAAAGAGAAGAACCTTTTTGAAAAACAGAGCAAATACAGCTAGCCAATCAGTGCTTACACTTGAGAAACGCCTACTTTGAGTGTGCAAAGAACCCCTTATTAAAAGCCCTAACATTAAAGAGGGTCAAGTTTTTTTTTCATTTATCATTTAATTTTTTCCTTTTCTTTTTTATACAATAATAATAATAATAAAAAAGAGTTCTGCGTCAACTTTCAGTCAAACTGAGAAAGTCTCAGGAGTTCTACCCTCTGAAAACCTGGTAAATTAAAACATAAAACTAAACTAATTTCTATAATCCCTGATGCTTTGGGTTGCTTTAAAATAAATGTGTTCAAAATAAAGTAAATACCCTGGCATATCCCTCTATTTCACATAAAATCCCCCCCGTAGCCCCGCCCTACGGAAGCCGAGAGAGAGCGTTTCCCGCTGATAATTTTTTCCACGGTTTTCTCGAGTTAACAAGCCAATTATGTCGTCATCATGAGAAAACCATAGAAACAATTATCAGCGGAAAACGTCTACATTTTGCCCATTCCTCCCAAAAATCAATTTAAACTTTTTAGTGGCCAAAACAGAATTTCAACTGCATCAGCTGTTTTTTTTTAGCAGGATGCTGGAGAAAAAAAGCCACATTTACCTGGTGAGCGAGTGCTCGTCCGACTTAACAAGCGCTCTCTGGTCTTGTAGGGATAGCGTAACGTGGTGTCTAACAACTTGAAGCTCTCCTTCAGTGAATGGGACTGATAATACTCCACCAGCTCCTGTTACACAACCAATCAAAAACACCAAGCATCAGCTTGGAAACAAGCGTTTAAACYCTTTTTTGTTTTTGCTGTTCGATTCGGTTCACGTCTCACCAGAAGGCTCTCGAACTTCTTTGCTTCGGTGATGTGAATCCAGCTGTCCTTCTCCGTGACTTTGATRTGTTTTACTTCATCGTTAAATCTGGAAAAACAAACCCAGAGGAGAAAAAAAAGAGGGATATCTAAAATAAATCAACACTTTGTAGGTTACTGACATTTAATGTTCAGCTTTTACTCCAGTTTGCTTTTAGTTTTAATGTGTCCCAGCTGTGGAAATATGTATTTTCTGTATATATTTTGAAGTACACTGAAAATAAAGCCCTTTTTTTTTTTAAAGTTAAAGCACACTGTCAGATTTGTTTACTTTGCAGAAGAGGCTGGTCCCTATAGAGCGTTTGCACCTGTGTGGAAGCTTTGAATGCAAATGTGCAAACGCACTCCTTCACCCAATTCATCACAAAACGACAGCTCCAGGAAAAGCGCAAACACTATTTATCTTTGGGATTCAGAGGAGAGGCACAAAATAAGACTAAATGTAAAAAAGGCAATTACTAAGTGGTAATTAAAGCTGTTTTTTATTATTTTCTCATGAGATAAATGTATTTTTTTTTTAAAGTGTGACGTGTTCCCGCCCCCTAACCTGACGGACTCACTTGATGCTGATGGCGAACCGCTCGGCTTCGGCCGTCCTCTCCCTGATAAGGTACGTCCCGCTGCAGTGGGACTTCAGAAGGTTGTCTGCCTGCTGGCGCTCCATGTTCCCCGCAAACCTACAGAGAAAACAGCAAATTAAAGCTCTGACCTCGAAGACTACAACAGCTCGGTTAAGAGCTTTGTAAACACGCAACATTAAACGACCGTGTTGTCATTAATCTTTTCCTCGAGGCTCGGCCTGCTTTCAATTGAAAGCGGTGCGTTAAGTTAGACACTAAGCTAATTATAGGACGGCAACCTTGGGTTAATGGCAGCGCTGCGAACACACGCTGAAGTCTTACCAAGGATATCCAAAGTAGTCAGTTTCCCGCGAGGACTGCCGGCTGGTCAACGACTGGAAGGGCTGTAGAGATAAAAGACGGCACAAATCACAGCGTTACAACTTGTTACCTGGAGATGATTACCTCACAGGCAGCAGAACGAAGTGAAAAATTAGGGCCTTTATAGACAGTTGGGTCAAACCTGGTAAACGTGTTCTCATGCAATGATGGGAAAGCACTTTAGGTATGTGCTGACTACAACTTTCTGCTACTACCACACAAACTCTCAGCTTAATTTCTGTAAAARTCCACTGAGCTATAGCCATGCTTGTGTTAGATCAGGTGGATATTGCTAATCTACAAATGGAGCGGACATAAGAATTAATAATGCACAACGTGTAGTGCAGGGCCAGTCCTGGCCAATTTGGTGCCCGAGGCAAAATTTCAGGTGGAGTCCTGTGTGCAGTTTTCTAAATCTTGATGTCGATATTTTTAAAATTCACAAATTAAAGCTGCTGTATGTAGTATTTGGAAAACCCTGGACTTAGAAAAAATTTGAACAGGTCCCTCCCCCTTGTTCTCCGTTAAGCTTCAGCCTACGTTCCTAAGCTCCTCCCACACAGCACAGTGTGCGCGGCTGCGCTGCGAGCAGGGTGGAACATCACAAACATGATTGACACCTGTGAGACAAACCTCTGGGCTTTGATTTGCTCTTTTTCTTCGGGAGCGGTAGATTTGAACAGATGGCWGTAGGACCACCGGGAGGAGCCAGAGGACTTTTGATTTTTTCAGAGATTATCTGTCTAGTATCAATCTGTCAGGACATAAGTGATAGTTTTAATAAATATGTCAAAAATATATTTTTATAGAAGTTACAGACTGCAGCTTTAAATAGTTCTGTCTTGGATGTTTCATTTAATTTTYAGAAACCAGTTTGTCCAATCAAAACTGTTAAAAGTGCCTGTGACATGCCGATCCTTCAAATACAATAAGTCAAAGAAAATATCTTCATATTTAGGGAAATTGGCAGAAAAGGCACGATTTAACCCGTTTTGTCACATATGTACATGTTTTCCTTTGAATTTGGCTCAGCTGAAGTGAAGCAGGAAGTGACATCAAAGGGGAACTCTTTAAGAAAGAAAACTCCCTGGTCTTTGTTTATTAAAACTATATTATTTGAACACTTGTCTTCATCTCTCTCTTATGGGGACTAAAATTATGAAGTGAAGCAGTTTTAGGGGGGGGTCCAGAGGTATAATCCCGCAGAAAATTTAGTAAAAGATCTACTCAAAACTCCATTTTCCAGCCATTTGAAGAGAATTTTACTAAATATTTGGGATTATAAAACAATATTTTTTAAAAAACAACATATTAGAACAACCAGGAAGAGTTTTTGTTTATCAGTGTGTGGAGTAAATGTCTGGAATGGATTGAATGATGAGTTTAAAAAAATTACAAATGTAAACCAATTTAAAAAACTCATTAAAGCAGAGCTCATTTCAAAATATGCTATATAAGATGTTTAATGTTCAATAGTCTATAATGTAATTGATGAGATAAATAGAACTTAAAATAATTCTACATAGTTAAACATGATGTAAAATGGAAACAAGTTGTCTCTTTTCGATGTTCTGAAAGTTAATTGATAATACACTGACAAGTAGGAAAGGGGCAGGACATTATAAGATGTATCTTCTACCTGCTCCTTTTCGAACAGAAAATATAAAATTTTGCATGTCACATGGGCAAAATAATTTGTATTACATTTTATTTCTTAAGTTTGTTTCATTATATTTTTTCTTTTTGATTGTTTTTAATGTCTGTTCGAAATAAATAAAATAAAATAAAATAAAAAATAAAAAATATATAAAACCAGTATTTTATGAAGGWAGAATACATAAAACCAGATTTTAACCTGAACTTTATCTGAGATCAGAACTGAAACTTCCATTCTCCTTATTTTGTTTTTTATTTACACACTGAGCACCAGTAGTTAGTCTTGACAGCATCATATACTTTTATCATGAAATATCCGCTGCACCATATAACACCTCACGTAGGAAGAAAGCAGAACAAGTTCATAAACCTGAGTACCCAGTGATTATTCTACAGAATAAATCAACTAGACCCTGATAAAACGTTACAATATATATATTTTTCATGGTAAATGGCTTGAACTTATTTAGCACCTTCATCTCCCATTTATGGCGCCCCCTTGCTGGACGGCACCCTGAGAGTTTGCCTACACTGCCTACGCTACAGCCCGGCCCTGGTATAGAGCCATGAATATGTTTTGATGATGATGAAGATCGATAYTTCTGTCTATTAAGAAAGCTACTACCATAGCAATTTTTAGCTTAATGTCTGTAGAATTGGATGAGTTATGGTCATTTTTTGTCTTTGCTAAGGTTAACCGGAAAGTCACAGGTTTGTTGTGTTGTGGTGTGGTGGCCATGAGCAAGACAACTATTCCGTAAGTGCCTGCTCTACTTGGGTGTACCTCACATAAGTAATACATAAGTAATAGAACAAACATCATCATTGTATGGGAATAGACAAAAACGACAAAACATAGAGTTTCACTTGAGCTGTTGCCTTCATTGATGAGCATTAAAAATCCTCAGAGGTCTCATATACATTCATAAATGAGCTCCTGCCATGTATGAAGAACCTACCTTTGGGTCCAAGCAAGGTTTCACACAGGAGCTGGGGAAGAAGCCACTCTTTTGTGTCTGCATCAGCTTCCCCTGTAATGAAAATGCAGCAGAAGTTCATCAGCAGAGCTCAGAGTGTGGGAAATAAAATGCCTATATGTGTGAAGTAATAAATAATTGTTTGAATAAATTTATGCCATTATGGGTTATTTTAAAMCAGTAATCCATAAAACAACATTGAGTCTTGGATGTATTCAAAAAAAAAAAATGTGGCGCTTTGGTGCCCTCTAGTGGTAATATAATAAAACAATGGAAATRGAAGAAGAAATCTGCCACATTCATTTGAATCCATATTAAATTTACTTGACCAGACTTCATATTAGACGATGCTTTTCCTAAAAAAAAAAGAGGAGCACATCTGTCAAGATTACTCATCAGCCTGAGCTTCACCGTCTGCAGCCTGAAGCGACTGATTCAGAGTGCAGCGCGCCCTTTGACATCACACAGAGAGATTAAACCGCAGCTCTGTCGAGGGATAACCGAGTGGAATAGCTAAGATAAATTTGTGGCATTAGAAAGWGGCCTTGAGTCACTCGGAGAGGAGCTAGCAACGATATTACTATTAAATGTCAACAATTGAGCGAAGAGACCCCACAGCGAATAGTGTCACATGCACGCTAATCATTCAATGCAGCAGACCCCCCACAGGTCTGCAGGTAATTTATAACAACAATAAGACAATCCAAGCAGTACCGCCAAGTTTACTGAGAGGTTCGTGTAGACGGTCAAAAAAACAGACATCATCAGACTTTGTTATCAATCAAAATTAAAAAGGAACATGGAGGTTTTATGTTGTGGCAACTTTTAACTATAAAATAGGCGATGTTTGGGGGATTGTGCTGTATCACAACAGAGCATTGAAAACAGCATCAGTTAAATCCATACAGAACAACACAACATATTTAATGTCTTTTAGACCAATTTACACATTTTAACACATTTAAGTCTTCATTTCAGATACATAAACTTAAGACTTTAGGACCTTAGAAAGAGTTTTTTAAGTCTTTAAAATATTAAAGTCTTAGATTTATGCACATGAAATTAAGACCTTAAAAAGTCTTTAAATTTCATGTACATAAATTTAAGACAAATAATTTTAAAATTTTTAATTTCAAATACATGAATTTAAGACTAAGACTTTTCAAGACATTTACATGAATTTAAGACTTTGCAAGATCTTAATTTCAGATACATTTAAGTCTTCTTAAAGACTTTTAAGGTCTTAATTTCAGATACATTTAAGTCTTCTTAAAGACTTTTAAGGTCTTAATTTCAGATACATTTAAGTCTTCTTAAAGACTTTTAAGGTCTTAATTTCAGATACAGTTAAGTCTTCTTAAAGACTTTTAAGGTCTTAATTTCAGATACAGTTAAGTCTTCTTAAAGACTTTTAAGGTCTTAATTTCAGATACAGTTAAGACTTTAAGGAAGGTCTTAATTTAGATATATTCAAGGCTTTTTAAGGTCTTAATTTCAAATACATAAATTTAAGACTAAGACTTTTTAAGGAAGCACAGACATGCTGATTAAACATTTAAAGTAACCTTTTGCGATAGTTTGTTCTTAGTTTAAGGAGTATACATGCTACTTRTAAATTACTCTTAGCTAAAATAGCTCCATCAAATTGTGGCCTAATATCTGTGAAATCTCTTGAGGTTTAGTTAGTTTTTGTGTTTTGCTTTTATCCGGTTGGCTATGGCAGCCATCCTAATTTGTCYAAAAGTTAATCAGCTATAAATATAAAGCCAACGATTGCATCTGTCCATTGCTCCATGACACATTATRCTAAAGTACAAACAAATGAACAGGTGGGGACACAGGGTTGCCTGCAGCATTTTATTGGAGGCATCCCTGAACACAGCCTCAACGTGCAACTGACCCACACAATGTCCAAAGTGCACAACGTGACACACACGTCAACACAAAGTCCTGATTTTGACTGTGTCGAGTCAAATAAAAGAGAAATAAAACTGGAAAAACTTTTATTTTGTTGTCAAACATTAGATATCTTATTTGTCTCTCTTCCACGCAGCGTCAGCTGTCAATCACAACACGCTGCATGGCATGACCATCCTGTGAGCTGCTGTCACCGTGTTAAAAAATAAACAACGTTCAAGACGTTTTGACACAGGAGACCGGTTCTTATTTTGTTTTCTCCCCCATTTTGGTCATAATAAAGTGTCAAAAAAATCAGTGGAAAGTCAAATAATTAAAAGAAAAGGTGAAACAGCTGCAGGCGATAAAAAGAGGAAACATTGAACCTGTTTCACCTCCCAGCAGGTTTAAAACTCAGTTACATCCTCTCACTTTAATCTGCATAAAACCTGAAGAATTAAAAACAAGTTTGGGTTTTATTTCTGGTTGGTTCTTGGGAATGCTAATGACTTCCTGTGGTGGTTGATTGGCATCCTGACAAACACAACCAGACTACGGGATACAACAAATGTGTTAATGAGCTTTGGAGGTGTTGCTGGTTGGATGCTGGTATTTAAACACAGAGACAGTTTATACTGTAGTAGAAACTGCATCTCTGTTTTCTCCCAACTCTCTTTGTATCTAAGATAGCTCTATAACCTCAGGCATGTTTCAAATCCACAGAAAGGTTTTCACCAGTTCAGCTAGAAGTGACTGAGAACAGTACCTCCCACCACGGGGTGTCTGGATCTCCCTTTAGCAGCTCAATAACGTCTCCTGTTTGGAAACAAAGAGGAGTTTTTCCTGAAGGTATTGGTGTGCCGTGGTAGTTCCTCACTGCCACCATCTTTGGTCCTGAAAACACAGAGGTAAGAAGAAGCAACAGTTTGTTGGTGTAAAGGTGATTTTTTTTTAAATTGCCTAGAAAATGGGGTAATTTAAAGTGTGTTAAGTCTGTTAAAAAATGTTTTATATWTATAAACAATGTCGGTGTACTGAACATTTTTTACAGGTTAACCTCTCTCTCCACTTTTCRTCTTAAAAAGTTTGATTTTAAATAAAAGTCTTACCCAGATTAGCTTTAACTGTTGCTTTTTTGTTCACTAAATGTTGCTTATAGTTAAACACACACTGTGCTCTAAAATTCAACACATCACAGAATAACCACTCTGGTCTGTCCACTAGATGGCAGTAGAGGGCCGTGTTTAYCCACAGCTGCTGCAGCCAAGAAGTAAAACCAGACAGCTGACAGAAAATCTGGCATCATCTCAAAGTTGTAGTGTTCTTACCAGGCGACAATCCAGGCTCCTGTAAAATACAACCAAACATGTGGTCAGATCGATTTTTTTAACATATGTTTCATAAAAAAGGCAGTAATGATGTCATAAAAGATGAAGAGACATTTACTCACCATGTCAAGAGGATCTGAAATAAGACAAAAAGATAAAACAGTTTTTTCACATTACAATGTCAGAAAAGGCTTTTAATAAAAATAATGTTTGGGTTATTACATACATTATGTTTTGTAGATGAGGGCAAAGTTATTTTCCAACATTATTCCCTTTAATGAAGTCACATATTTGTGCTTTTAGCTTTACCCAATCAAAAGGCATTAGAATCAAATCATGAGCCTGAACACACACAAAATCCCATTGCTGTCTGTGTATACGTTGATAATACCATCATATTATTACAAAAATGATTTTAAAGGCAGATATCTCTCTATCAAGCACATTAATAAAAAATGAAGTTTCAAGTAATTTTGTACTGAACCTAATAAATTGACATATTGTGACCAATATATCATATGATAATGATATATTATTTAAATTTCATACTTTTGGGTTTAACACAACTTCAACTAACGTTAGCATCCACTTGTCTGCTACTGTTCAGCTAATGTTAGTGTACACCTGTGCAGCCCGACTTTCTCAGGCGGAGGRATCCGTAAACTTCCTCCTGCTGGTTTTTCTCCTCCGACATATTGTTTCCAGTTCTTTTTTTAAACTTGTTCTAACAAATAMATTAATTTATTTTGAGCACCGCTCAACTTTTGCTGGATCCGAATCAAAGTATTGCCAATATCATCCCGCCTCCACCTGATTTCTGATTGGCTAGTTGGCCTATGCTGTGTGTTTTGAAGTGAAAGCTGCGCCTCTGATAGGTCCAGAGAAATGTCTGTTAAATATTTGGCTGGGTGAACCTGATTTATTTTTCTTTCCTGGAGGTGAGCTGGAATTACGGCACGGTGCCAGAATACTATCAGCCCTGCTGATGTCATCGTGTGTCAGATTGTGTCTAAATTCCCGCCAGACGACTACCGTGAACTCTTAAAAATTTTATTCCAACACCACGTTGTTCTACAAAGAAAACACCTACTGATTTTACAGGTGGTGATCCTTTCCAGACACTCTTTGTGAGCTCCTGTTCCACAGCGAGTGCAGTAGTAGCCCTGATAAAAAATGCCCCTAGAGGAGACACACAAACACAAACACACACACAGTTATGAAAACAGGAAGTGTCTCAGACACACATTAACCTCCTGTAAGAACAAAACACAAAAGGACCCACTGGTTGTTCTTTCAGTTTCTAAAACATGGCTGCAMACCCTTCATCATTTCCTGCTGTTTTATTCTTTGAAACGCTGAAGTAAATGTGTTTCATTTAAGCCCATGTGGTCCAGAGTTTGTTGCGGCCGGTGCAGCGGCGCGGGCAGAGCACGCTGCCACGTGGAATAGCCGGTCTCATAAATCACGACGAGTTCCACTGAGGATGCGGCGCTAATTAGCATCCAGCTCGCCAGGCCCTGCCTCCACCAGCTCTGTGAATTTAGGTCAGCAGAGCTGTGGAACACGCGGGTCAGTACACAGAGTGGAGCTGAGCCGGCTTACTGTAACAGAGGTGAAAGTGGTGATCCGTGGCGGCGGCGGGTTATCCCCGCCGCAGTCCAACGACAGGGGGAGTGAGCTTAGCAGCTGGAAAACGGGAACGTTTAAATATATCCATCAGCCACATAAAAGGCTGGTTTGACTGTTAAAAGGGAAATCTTACATCTAGCTGCAAACTATATTATTTCAGTACAAACAGGAATCTGCTAACCTGACTTCAAACAAAGCAAAGGCAACTAATTTGATTTACTACCACGTCTAGAGCTGACAAACCAAACTAAATATCTTTGTAGCCTAAAGGCTGCAGATTTTATCACCACTTGATAAAAAATAAAGCGAGAAAAAACAAATAATCAGTGTTTTCTTTTATTTGTTTTAAAACTAAATTAGAAAAATGACAATGACAAAATAAAAAAAACTACATTTATGTTGGATTTAGATAACTGAAGCAAAAAAAAAAAACCCTTAAACACTGGATTTTTTATTAGTTTGATTTTCCATTCTTTCCCATTAAAAACAGGGGGGAAAACAAAAAAACAAAACAATTATTTGCTTTTTGCAATTTTATTTTGAAAAGTAAAGCTGCACCAATAACAGCTCCATGTTGCCTCTTGATTCCAAGTTTGGTGCTAAGCTAACTAAAAGGTTGATGTTAGTGGCAACCATTGGTGGGCACCAGCTCGCTAAAGCACAAATCCRCTAATTGCGGAYCTAAATATTTCGTTTGCACTTTAGAGGTCTTACTTATTTTTATAATTCATAAGCAGATTTGCGCTTTCTAAAATTAAAATGCAGTACCCCAATAACTAATTATCTACCAGTCATCATTATCTTGAACAGCGGAAGGTATGACTGTCAATGAATCACAACACATGTGATCTATCCAACAGCACCYCTCCCAGATAAACACACTTACTGGAAATGTATACATCCTTGCTGACTGTTGCTTTGGGACACGGTTCATTTCCCACAATGCTTTGTGTCTGCTTATGTAGCAGGAAGGCAATGTTTAGAACTCCCTGTCTCAGCAAAAAACAATAAACGTTTGTAATCCATACTAAAATTTTGAATGTATTGATTTATTTTACTTTACAATCAGAGCTCATTAAAAAAAATAAAGTTTAAACGCTGGAGCTCAGTACTTGACGTAATTGGTTGAAGCAATCTGCCAACGGGGTTAGAGAGGCGGAAATTATTTAAAGATGTTATGCTKATGAAGACTGGCATCTAGTGGTCAACTGGGCAACAACATGGAAAACTTTAAAATCCAAGCTCTTATTTTGAAGGGAAGATAGTTTCCTGTACTCTGTGCATTCGTTTCCCGTCACAAATCAAATCTGTCATGTACCCAGAATGCATCGCTTCAGTTTTCCAATAAACAGTTTTAAAATTACTTTAATGATGCTTCTTTAATGAAAAATCTACAACAAACAAAAGAAAAAGTCACAGAAGCAGCCGAACTAGCAATCCTCAACAACTTTTTAATTTTTACACGAGGAGCTAAAGTTCTGTTTCAGGAAATCACATGCCCAGCAATCGACTGTTGTAGAATTAAGTTGTGAAAGTGTTCWTACACGGCTAGTTGGCAGTGTTGTGCATATATTGTACATGAACTGTTGTCAGCTAGTACAGTGGTTCCCAAACTTTTTATCTTCTGACTCACAAAATATCCATGGCAAAAACTTGTGACCCCAAATATTTCTGATCTGAGTACACAAACTTCGTTAATAACCGTAAAAACATAGGCTTTTTGACAATCTAAACAGCTTGTAAACAAATATAAATACTTATTTATACTTATTTTGTGTTTGTAATAATTACAGGGAAAATATTACATCAGCAATTATTTTATTAACCTTTAAATTGATTTCTGGAGATTATCCAAGGTGCTTCATGACCCATAATTGGGTCACAAGCCCAACTTTGGGAACCAATAAGTTAGACCGCAAACACATTTATACCCTCCAAAACATAAATCAACTTCCAACTTTGTTCTCTGGAATACACAAATTGCACTTAAATTGCCACAGATTTATACAAATTATATGTTTGAATTTGATTACCCAATTTAATGATTTACTCTAAAATATAGTTCTTATTAGGTTTCTGTAATTTTCACACAAGCTGAGAAAGAACAAGTTGATACAAGTCAGCTGTTGAAAGCTCTGCGTGATAAGAGCTTACAGATGACTGGACGGACGGACGGACGGGCGGATGTACGATAAGAAAGAGCAAACGGACGGATGGACGATAAGAGAGCAAATGGACGGACGGACGGACGATAAGAAAGAGCAAACGGCCGGACGGACGGACAGACGATAAGAAAGAGCAAACGGAC